AAATGGAAGCTTTTTGAGGAAAAAAAAGCCAAGTCAAGGAGCAACGAGACTAATTCGAAAAGAATTGGAGGCCAACGGAATGGACGGTCCATGGTAAAAACGGAAAAAAACAAAAAGGAAACAAAAGCCATCTTGACGATTAGGTTCTTTGAACCCAAGACTTGATGAGCCCGGAAATATTAACATGGACTAATCATCAATAACCCCGAGCAAAGAAGCTACCCTGAGCAAGTAAATTCGAGTGAATTCTCACAAAACAACTGTGGTAACAAACTTAAAAGCTCTAATACAGTCCGGGAGGTTGGCCAATTACAAAAACGAGAGAGACGCTGTTTTCGAAAATTCAGGCAGGCATAAAGAAGCTGGCTCGGGTTAGTTTGTGGACAACTGGCACTCGTTTCAAACTTCGCGCCCAAACGTGGGCCCGTGGCTCCTGCTCCCTCCCGCATTCTCTCCCCAAAATAGCATCTGGCGCTACGGCGACGTCGTTGACCCCAATCTGCTGCTGAAGACGGATGGCATCCTTCTTCTGGAACCTCAGCCTACGACGCTGTCCATCCTTCGGTTCACGGGCTCCAGCTCCGCACTGCTTAAAGTGACTCATGCCTTGCTCTTTCAGTGTCTGCGCTCTGGCCGTTCGCTGTAGGGAACGAGGCGGGCCATCAGAGAAGTGCAGCTCGCGGGTACAGATGGCCAGTTTCGTAAACAACAAATTTCATTGATATTGACCGGGCCAGCTACTGAACGGTGGGGCGCGCTTTCTTCCAGCCATGTTAAGGCTGTACTGCGGACAGCGAAACGCACCCATCTCAGAGCATGTACTGGTGAAGACCCTTCCCAGAGCAGTACATGCGCATGGAAAGTGTATACCCTCCTTGATATAATTTGAAAAATAAATTCTGGCTAAAGGGGTTCAAGTTGTTCCCTTTACTGTTTCCAATTCGTGTCCCTTACCCATCGTCAGTAAGTGACAGTACCAGAACCACAATTTGACCAACATCTAACAAACACGATTTTACAATCTTGGTTAAAAATATATGTAATGAGAGAGAAAATGCTCAATTGCAGTGAGAACGTACTCTTCCTTCTTAGGCCTTACTGGCCACGCTCACTTTTTTCCATTTTTTCCACAGACTCACGATTTGGGTCTTTCGCATTCGTCAGTATGCTAGATCTCACTGTCATTTTCTTGCACTTCTAATCAGCCTTAATCATTTATCACCACTTTCTGCCTCTAATCATTTTAATTTCGAATGCAGGGAATTTGAGAGAAGAAGCATGTTGGTGCAACGCAATCGTTTATGAATTCTGGTGAGAAACGGACGGATTCACGCAACATTCTGATTCCATACAGACAGAGCTATACATATGTACAACGCTAGCGGATGATATTTAAACCAAGTATCACTAAAATGGAAGCAAAACGATCTAAAAAGGGAAGAGAGGCAATGAACACTGAAAAACTGACTCGACTGATTTTAAGTATGTGCTTTCAGTGCTTAACGACGTCTTCGATAACCTACTGGCTGAGATAACTACTGCACAGAAACTACTCGTTGTAGACTTATCTATACAGATTTTTCTCCGAGATTTGTAATTAAATCCAGGATTCATAGGGAGGCTAATATGGACACTTCAGACGATTATGCCTACGTAGTCACAGTTCGCTATACACGCAGATAATTTGATTAACTAGTAGTAAGGTCTTTTCAACACTAAAAAGCACGTTGAGAACGTTCTTAGAACCACCTCTCTTCTTCAACACTAGGCACCAGAGCGTCGCAAAGGAGGGGTAGCCGGCTCTCGGATCCTGTAACGGTAGCTCTCGGAGCCTGGAATGGTGCTAAGAAAGGTTTTTTCGTCAGGGGCTATAGTTTTTTTTTTCACTAAGCGCTAAGATGGTAGAAGCACAGTGTATGAGATGATAACTTCATGCAAAAAACTGTGGCAAAGGACGAAATGAACATCCACTGATTTATTTTTTTTTTCTAAAAAATATCATCAATATCGCGTGCTAGCATGCCACTCCGGCTTGGAAAGCATCATTATGAACCCGTAACCCGTATGAGCTGGCCACCACTCCTATGCTGCGCTCTAGAGCCTGGTGTTGAAGAAGAGCAGTTCCTCTACCCGATCAATTATTTTTAACTTGAAGCATTCGTAGGTGACCTATGAAACCGTAATTATTCATTGTTAGCCAAAACCTCCCATTCGCTCCTGTTCCTTCAGACGTTCCATTAGTCTCTGCCTACACTGCGCAGCTCAAAAAGGGGTGTAAAGAGGCAAACCTTTCGCGACCTAGCCTTCTTTATTTAGCCTTTTCCATCTTGCTTTCGTTTTTTATCGGCTGAATAACTTTACAAAATCAAATACTGAGAAAAGCTGAACAAATTTTTGATAAAGGGAGCAGGGGTCATTGAAATGGCTTGAAGGCGGTCAAATGGGGGCTTGTTGCACAGGTGGGAATAAAAGCCACGTGGCCGTTCCTATAACAGTAATTGGCAATAAAATAGTGTTCGAAAGAATAGCGTGGTGGTGCCATAAGACCAACAAGGTGACACAGTCGATAGATAAAGGTGTTTCGGAGACGTTTCGCGAAAAAATGACTGTCAGCAGATTCCTAGACCAGCACCGACGAAAGATCTCCGATGAGATTGCAAAACGAGAGATGAACGAACGATTTAGATAAGGTTCTAGATCTCCAGATGACCTATTATATAAGCATAATTTGTAATAACAATGGTATTCAGAAAGTGATCATTGGTAGTAATTAGTCATAGGTTAACGCAAAAGTCTCGAGACCCTCGGGTGCCAGTTTTAAACTCTTTTAAAATGTTATTCAATTTTCCCTTTCATAAAACCATGTCCGTGACATTCATGCAACGAGCGGGCAAGCCGACTATTCCCCTCCCCAGAGAAGCCATGGCTGTAATCTGACGAAGTCAGCAAGAGCGTTTTTGAAATCACCAGAGGTGGCGAACATCTTCGTAGCTCCATATGCTTGAGTTCAAAAGGTGATAGTTGCAGGGGATGAGGCTGAGAGGATGGGAAATGTTATTCGAGCCAACTTTTCGTTATCTGAACTGCATGGCCTTCGTAATGGAGACAGAAAGCCATCATGCAGAAATGAACAGACGCTCTTCTAGCTCGCTTTTCTTCGACCGCATGAGTGAGTTCCTGAAGCTGACTGCTCTCGTTACTATCTGCCAACTTTCAATGAAGAATACCCGTCGAGTTCCGAAAGCAGCCAGGAAGAGCCTCCTCGCCCATCGCTTTCCGACTTGGGTTTATGTGACAGATCCCTTAATTTGCGAGCCAGGTAGCCACCCTTTTGTGGGCCTCAGAGAGGATCCAGCTCTCTTCTCCCGTCGCCATACCCTGCCGAAATTCCTCCAAAGTGGGGGAGGGGAGGAGCAACTGGTTAATGGAGACACGCCTATGACTGAAATCGTCAGTCAGTTGATACGGAATCCATCGAACAACAACTTTATTGTAACCGGATTCGTGAAAGTACTGAACAGCTTTGCTTTGAATTAACTCGAGGAGATTCACCTACTCCACATTCCCTGTCCGTAGTGAGCGAATATACTGGTCTATCACAAAATCACTGAGACCCATCCCTTTTCCGCAATTCCCCACCCATATAATTACCATATTTCAATGAATAACGAGGGAACTGAAGAACAACGAACAATCGCAGGCTCTTCCGAGCCAGGGATACCAAAAACATCTGATGAACGACAATGACACGACAGGACCACTCTTTGGCACTGTAATGGCACTGTAATGGCTGACTGGAACCGCTAGCGAAGGTTTTACGTTGAAAACAGTAGTCTTTGTGAGGATTTCACTTTTTTCCAAATGTCATGTGATTTCAAAAGCAGCTGTGACGCTCGTCGTTCATGTATCAGAACACTTTCGTGATACAGTAACTGATAATCAAAGTGAAGTGTTCAGAGTCAACGGAAAGTGTTCAAAAAGTGGTAAAGGGTCTGGTCTCAGAAAGTCGATCGAAAGTTGAGGGAATGATTCCGGAACCGACATAATTTTGGGTTTCTAGTATCAATAACTACTAATATTCAATAAATGGTTTGCCAAGAATTTGTTGGTGCCGTGAAACTTACGTAATCTGTTGTGACGTGCAGTTAACATTTAGGTATTCTTTCAGTGATTCCTACAGAACGACCACATCTATTTGACTTCAGATCTTGAACGGAAATCGTAGATGACCTTCTTCAGTGACCTTCAAGAGGAAGCACTGATCCTTCAGGAGCGTGAACGCATGTGATCTTGGTCTTGTAATAGGCGAAGCTAGGATGCTCATTCAAGTCTCAACTGTTTCCGCTTCTCTTTCCTTTTCGGATTCTCCCTTAATGCTTCTCTGCATAGCTTTACAAGTACGAATATTAGTTGGTCACTGCCTGAGGATCCCCCTCTCCCTCATTCCGACTTAAAAATTTAGGAGTTTTCAAATAAAGACGTCTCTTACATTTAGTAAAGCGACCCGTTTATGAGTCTAACTTGGTGAAGAACATCGTGGCCTTGATAGGAGTATGGTATGAACACAGAATTCTTTCACCCGACCCCTCCTCTTCGTAGCTTTTCCATACTTAAGCAACGAACATAAGGTGAAGGGGTCCCTTCGTGACATTGATCTGTTTTCTTCGCTGGCGTCGCCGAGTCTTCGGTGATCGTTCCAATTCCAGCAGTCTCTCCTCCTGACCTCACACAGCAACCCTACTCAAAGTTACCGTATTGGTGACTCCCTCAGATGCAGTGGAATCGGACCCATGTGTATTGCAGCTTTCGAACACGGAAGCCTTTGAAGACCTTGTCGCACTCTGACGTGGAGGGCATGAATACTCCGGCTATTAGGAGTGCTCTCCTAAGGTGATGAGTTCATTCAAAATGACAGGATTACACCGATTTGGAACATTAAAGCAATCGATATCGGTCGAGTTTTGCTCAACACACTGATTGGAAATGCACAGTTCTTTCTCTTAGTGATACAGAGCCTAGCGCTACAAGAAGAAATGATGGCAACCGGAAATTCCTGTTTTACGTACGATCGCATCGTGGATCTACCCACAGGCTTTAGAAAAACTAAGGACAAAGTGATTGAAAAGAAGATTGCTTCGAAACTGCCTACACAATCACATTTGAATGACTATCATGGCAGGAAGATTCGAAGGCTATAGATTACGGTATGTCGGATATGTGGGAAGATTTTCCATAAGTTCATGCCTATCACAGCTTCAATTCAGACTTGTAAAATACCCATACAAGCTATAATCCTGAGCAAAAGTGCTTTTATCTGAGCTCTAATAATGGGGACAGTATGGTACCGAAGTTAACACATCGCACTGAACAGAAATCGATCGGACTTTCCGATCAGACTGTAGAGGGGATGAAGAAGTAGTAAAAATAAAGTAAACTACGGATAAAGTAACAAACTGAGCAATATTATTCGAGTCTTCAAACCCAGGAAAAACTTTGAGGACTACAGCTTTATCACTGTACTTCGGGAAGGGTATTGCCTCCATGAAGCACTCAATGCTATCCCACGTAACCATTGCAGGTACACATACAAAAGGGTTAAAAGCA